CTAATTCAACCAACTAATTCACGGATCAATATCTTTGATGATATGTCATGGTTACGCAAAATTAAAACACAAGAAATGCGCAAAAAGAAAAAAGGAAATCAAGTTAGTAATATTAAAATAATAAATGAAGGAATGTGAGCTAGAAAATTCATAAAATAATTATATACAACTCATAAATGAGATTGCAAATAAATAATGTGAATAAAACACACAACAAAATTTAAAACCTTAACCACATGCATTATAGTTCTTTTAGGTGTTGAGTTAATCGATCGACGAAATAGCCAAGAGGGGGGTGAATTTGCAATAAAAATTTTGGTGGAAGCTTTTACAGAAAATAGAAAATAATTGCACAGCGACTTATAGTGGTTTGACTTTCTCAACCAAAGTCTACGTCCACTACCTTAGCTATCCACACTAAGAATTTTCCAACAAATTCACTAATTTTGTTCTTTCTTTTGAGGACAAAGAGTAACATTACAACTCTCTCAAGAATTATACCCCAATTCTTGAGAACACTCTCCCCCAAAGAGAAGAATACAAATTTCGTAAACTTACAAGAAAAACCTCACAAGGTAGATTGTTTGCACAATTCTAAAATAAAGAAAGAACACTCAAAGATAAATACAATAGAGCACAAATGGTGTTCTTGAAAGCAAAATGAATATTGAATAAAAAATAGGCTTGAAATACTCAAACTTGAGGCTTGATGATTTCTCTTTGATTATCTCTTAATTCTTCTTAATTGTTGTTGATCAATGGCTCCTAAGCTTGTTTAAATACCTCCTTGGATCACTTCTGAACGTTGGGGATCATTAGTGGAGTCAATAGAGTCGTTATTGTGTGAAAACAATTAATAAAACAGTTGGAGCGTATGGTGCGTCGATGCATAGCCAGGGTGCATCGGTACACTATGTGTAAAATTCAAATATTTTGATCGTTATAAGACTTAGTGCATTGGTACACTAGGAGTGCATCAGTACACTAATTACATTCGATGTTTCAAACAAGCCAGGAGTTCATCGATGCATGGTATGTGCATCAGTGCATAAAATGAGTGCATCGGTACATCCCTTCATAAAATTGATTTTTGGCTCGATTTTGGTTCGAAATACTTTGTAAAAATTGTTTAAAAAATATTTTAAGTTTGAAGCACAATTTTACACTTTAGTAAGGATTGAAATTGATCTTTGAAAAACTTGGAGTAATATTTTGATATTTGAATAATTGAATCAAATATAATTTGAAAAAGATTGTAAAATCTTAAAATTCATTTATACTTAATTTGTTATACCGAAACATCAAAATGTTTTCAACAATCTCCCTCTTTTTGATAAAACAAAACATTTGAGTAATTTTAAGATTTTCTTTGAAAATAATTTTTGAAATCTCAATTACTCCCCCTTACTATATTCTCCCTCATTTTGTTAAATCAAAATGACTCTATAAACATTTTAAACAAAATTTTTGAAAAACTTAGCCAATTGATATGTAGAAAATTAAAAACTTAAGCTGCTAAAATCACAATCAAGAGAAAGGTTAGCCATTAGTTTCATAATGCAATATTCATAAACAATGTATAATGGCAATTGGCCATATTTATCTAAAATGTGAATGATGCAAAAATAATAAACATTAAGCTCAATACTGAAAATTCAAACCAAACCAAATATATATAAGAATTTAAGTTTCATCATTCAAACATCCACATCATCAAATTCAAACAAAACAAACAAAAACATATAAATCCAAAAGCATTCAAAATGTTTTAATAATAGGTTCTAAATCCAAGAAAACTAAAGCAAAGCAAAGTTTAATCCATAGGAGGATCAGGAGGAGGAGGATAATGTGCTCGTATATCGAGTGTGAGTGTATCTAAACGTTCGTTCATCTCCCGTTGTTGAGCTTCCATAGCAGTGAGATGGGATTCAATATATGCAAGCCTTAGATCAAATGTCTCCAAAAATGATCGATAATATGGAGGCACTTGATCCTCTTGTTGTGTTGGTGCCGGCTCGTCCTCGGGTACATGTTCGTCAATGTCGCGCATAAGAGCTTCAAGTTCTGGATCATCATCCGCTGCCGGTGCTGGAGGAGGTGGAGCTCATGAAGAACTAGCTCCCGGTGTTTGTTCAATGGATCGAGCCCATTGATTACCTTCTTTTTTCCATCCTGATTTCTTTAAGGAAGTGAGATTGAGTTGGTTTTGGAGAGGGATGAGAATATCAAGAGTGACCCTAAGACCTAGTTTGATAAACAAATTAGAAAGGAGACAACCATAAACTAAAGTTTCTACATTCTTAGACGGGACAGTGTTTACGGTATCTACAAACTCACTAAAAATGATATGCGGAAAATTTATTTTCTTGTTATGTTGGATACAATGTATCTACCATATATCTATGACCCTAAGAGAGGAGTACCTACATCCGGATGGTCTAAACCACCAAGAGATCATCAAATGTAGGAATCGATCATGATGAGATCGTAAGGTACTAACATTATCCTTAGACTTATAGGGTGATGCCACAGTCTCTTTTTCATTATATAAACCTAGGTTATCTAGTCCAAAATGGGTAGCAATCGTGTCGGAGTCAATAAAAATGAATTGACCTAAAAGATAGGATCGAATTCCTATTGTTTCGGTTCGACACTCGTTTTGGACACACACCGCATTGGAGTAGAAAATGTGGACCAATTGATGATAAACAATAGGTTTGCGTTTAAAGAATTTATCAAACTTCCAGGATTTAAGAGTAGGAAGATATTGAAAATTCATATCTTCCATAGCTTGGATCGAAGGGATACACTCTTCTCGGATTTTGTATGACTAAAAAATGTATGGTACCTATGGTAGAGATCTTGTCTACAACCAGGTACATTGAAACAAGAGTTAAGAATAGTCATACTTGGGTTATTTGGATTTGGATTTTGTGGAGGAGGAGGAATGAGAGGTCGATTTTGACTCGAACGACTCGATGATGACCTAGGGCATTTAGGGTTAGACATGGATTACAAAATTAGAATAGGATAGGGTAACCTGCAAATTTAAAACACATGTATGAAATTCAATAAATCCCAAAACTCAAATGAGTCCGTAATATTTCAAGGTTCTCTAAACCGAATCCTAATGGGCAAAGTTTTGAAAACTCTTTGGAAAACAATGTTTGAAAAATCATAATGCATATAGTTTTCATGAAAAAAACATAATTGAATCAAAAACATCATTTGAAACAATAATTTTCGAAAATAATTTTTTTATATTTCGAAATTTTCGAAATTGTTTTGAAAAATCTTGTGTTTTTGATGAAATTAGTTGTAGAATCTAGTTTATAAACATTATATAATCAATGCCTGATATATATTTCAACCTATAACTAATCAAAACTGGTCCTAAGTTCGAAAATTAATAAAACAGGGGTTTTTGAATATTACCTTGAAAATTTCAGATTTTGTGAGAATGAGATGTTGTTTGCACAAATTTAATGATGTTAGCAGGATCAAAAGTTGAAGAACGATCTAATTCCAACTTCATTTGTTGGTTTTGAAGCAATTTTGAGAGTGGAGAGTGAGAGAGAGGGCGACGACAGAGTGTATAGGTGTTTGGGGTTTTGAGAAAAATGAAGAATTTAGGCACCCAAAAACCCGATGGGTGTATCGATGCACAACGAACGTATCGATGCACATTCAAGGAATACATCGGTGCACCTTCATGGTGTATAGATACACATTCAAGGGATGCATCGGTACACTATCTAGTGTATCGATGCATTACGCACAAAAATGTCAAAAACATGTTTTAAACAATCAAAACACTAAATTAATTAGCTCTAGTGGTATTGGCAACTTATATATTGAAAATTAACTACGTTCAATTAATCAAATCAAATCCTTAAACATTATTTGAACATACAATTAATTTTCACTAAGAATCATAAACTCCCCCTAACTAATAGCAAAGAATGCTATCAAAAATATTATTTTTATAAGCATTTCCAAAACTAATTAAAAGTGCTAAAATCATTTTAAACACTAAGTGAAGATAGGTCAGTTAAACCTAATTCTCTTCTAAGTGTCCAAAATCTTTCTTTATCTAAAGGTTTTGTAAAAATACCCGCTAATTGATGCAAAGTATCAACATATTCTAGAAATATATATTCTTTAGCGACAAGCACTACTAGAAAAAAACCCTTTAATGGCGCGCATTGCGCGTCATCTATGGGTGCAGATGACACACAAATGCGTGTCATTGAAATCCATCGACATAAATCTCAGATGACACACAATTGTATGACACACATTTATGACGCTTATTGCACTTCGTTGAAGCCCCTGTTATAAATGAAGGCGACACACATTTGTGTGTCATAAATTTATGACACGCATTTATGACTTACATTGCGTGTCATTGAAGCACACGTCATTAGAAAAGATGACACACATTCGTGTGTCGTGATTGTATGTCGTAAATATTTTATATATATATATATATATATTGTAGATTGACAACTAATCAAACTAAAGCACATTTAATGCCTCATAATACTAAATATATATATCATATTATATATAAGCAATCCATTTGCATACAATATATTAACATTAAGTTATAAAAAATATTGTAATCATATGTCGATACAAAATATCACGGCATAATAAATTTTTCCACATAAGATACCCATTCTTTCGGAATATCATCAATGTCATCATCCGTGTATTCTTCCTTCCCATCACCAACCTAAGTAAAAAATATGAAATAAGTATATAATTTATACTTATTTAAAGTGAAGCATATAACTATCAAAGAGTACTAAAATGACCAATTTTAATTATAATAATAAGATTATTGTAAGTATGGAAATAAATAAAGTAGTTTGAAATAAGCAGACATATATATACTAACTTGGTGCTATAACAATAAGTAGAAAATAAATAAAGTAGGAATGTTCACAGGAACTTACCATTTTATCAACAACAGTCTGGACATTCGGGTCATAACCTCATTTTTTCATTTGTCTTGCCTTTTTCCACAATAATACTCTATCAATCTCGTCTTCCTCCTTTCTTGTTTCTTGCATCTAAATTAAAAAGAATAACAACAATGAATTAACATAAACAAATGAATATCTAAACTATTCAATTAATTTACTACATACAATCTCAAGAGTTAGTCCAGCACATGTGACATCAAATTACTAACATTTGTTGAATCCACTAGGTTTTCTGTTACATTCTGACCATCTTGTCTACTTCTATGCATCGATCTCATATTTCCAGGTGATGATGGAAAATTCTCCATTTGACCACTACTTGGGACCATGTTGTAGTTAGCAGGTCTAGATGTTTTAGCCTTCTTATTATCATTTTGAGTCATTTGTTTGTCTTGTGATTGGGAGTTAGCAGACCGGGTGTCCAAACTTGATGGGCTTCCATGATCAAAAGACTTACTACCCCTGTGTGTTCCAACTCCTTGATAATACTCATGTCCAGCAATGCTTGGGCCAATGGGCGGCCTGCTGGATGAAAATGGATCAAACTTAGGTATCTCATTTTGTGCCAAACCTTCTTTAGAGTCTTTAGAAACTGCAACAGCCTGAGAAGATCCTAGAGAATAGTACCCATATATAAATGGTTCAATCACTATGTCATGCAACAATGAGGTCACATATGTAATAATTTTCCATGACAAGCTAAAGGAAGTTTAATTAACAGCAATTTACCAACATATTGTCCAGATGTAAAATCCATTCCTTGAGACCCGGAAGTAGGAAGCCGGGATGAATTCAGAGCCTCCAGATCAAGACCATGTCTATTGATAACAGTCTTCATTTCCCTTGAATAAAGAATATTATGTCAGGTAAAATAGTAGACATTCCCAAAGAAAGGGTCAATGAAAATTTAACTTGAACGAAGATATATATCTTTCGATGTTAAGTTCTAAACATCGTTGCGACCACTGAGATACTGAAAAGGAAAGTTGACTATAGTTAGATTAGCTAAAAGACAAATGCAAAAGGTAGATTTATCCAAATACATAAGAGTAAAATAGGGGAGAAGCTGGAGAATAAGGACATGTTAGACGCAATTTGAATTTTAGGTGAGAGTACACTTTAATTCAAGCTAGAAAATGTATACATATAATCCTGGAGTCAAATATATAAATCTGAACAGCAACAGCCACATAAGTGAACAACCTAATTTAAACACAAATTTTTTACTTCAATTCAACCATGTGTTGCTTAGTACAATGTTAAGCATAGCTGCACACAGAAAGGAAAAAGGTAAGAACGGCTTGCTTGGGGAAAAAGAGGATGGGCCAAAGTAAAACACCACGTAATTGAGATCTATTTAACTTATGTCCAACCATATTCATAATTCATTCATGGTAGGGCAATTAATGCTCTGATAGCAGAAAGGAATACACTCTTAGTCAAAGGTGTTTGAACAATTGTAGGACAACCTGAATACATACTAAAATAATTCCACTTCTAATATCATTATCTATAAAAAGAAAATGAAGGTTCTTGCATCCATTTAAAGGCAATAAAAACAAAGAATTCAAGTGGCAAATTATAATCAGTGAATAGTGAACAATCAAACAAATTTAGTCATTAGATCCCCCATTACCTGAATTAATTCCATTTTCTAAATCACTATGTCCGTCTAGATGAAAATAACAAAACTTCTCTCACTAGTTTACAAAATCATGTGTTCATTCATAAGACTTAAAGAACCTCAAACCATATTTCACCTTGAATTACTTGGAACGACATTGAATGTTCCTTCCCACTAGATTTCATGTGTTGCAATATCTGAAACATTCACAGATAATAAAAGTCAGATGCGGTAATAAATGGTATTAAAATCAAGAGCCAGCTTTGTAATGCGTGCACCATAAAGAGTTAAAGGCCACATAATTAACCAAAAAAAGCACCCATACCACATAAAGTTTTATTGCCAGCTTTGAAGGCTCGTCTTTAGAGTCTTGTATGAGTTTATGAAAATAACACAAAATTTCAACATTCTCAAGCACAGTGCTCCAGATTCTCCTAAATCAGATTCCAAGAAAAAAATCTTCCAAGCAATGTGAAGTCTCCAAAAATCTAGAAATAAGAAACCAAATGCTACACTTAAAGATTCCAAAAAAAAGAAGAATAAAATCCAAAATTTCCTCCAGATAACCCTTCGTTAATCCTGTGTTCATTCAAATTTGAGGGAAATTTTGAAAGTGAAACAAAGTTAACAACGAAATTGAGAATAAGAATAAAGTATAAACAAAATCTTAAAGGTTAACTATAAAACAAAGAAAAGTAGAAAGGTAAAAGGGAAGAACTGGTCGATGTCACGTTGGGCATTACCTTAGCTAACAAGATCTGTCATTCCATGTGAGTAAATTACAAACGCAACCACCCTTTACGATCGTTCCCCGGAGCTCCGTTAATCATCTGTAACTACCACCTCTCCTAATTTCTCTTCACTTCGCTCCTCTTTCCCTCCAACGCTTACCATCCAAAATAAAATAACGCTTCAACTCTCCATTCCGAAACAACTAACAAAAATCGGAAGTAATTCCTTTAGCAGATCTACCGTGATATCTGGTCCTTCAACAGCGAAATTCCAGTATTCACCTATTTCAAATGAAGATTAACAGAAGAAAAAAAATGTGAAAGTGCAACCAGAAACCGTAGAAGTAACTAAGTATCAATGGCAAGTGACACTCAAAATAGAGAAACAAATGATGGATTAATTGAAAAAGATTAAAAAGAAGTTTCTTACCCTTTGACATTTTACATCAGCAAGCTTATTTATCAAACATGGTTTCCCTTTGTGGTGAATGGATAAAGCAAATGGCTGATGCAAAGAGAAAAAGGGAAAAAGAGAAGAAGGGGGGAAGCATGCTTGCGTGAACTGTTTATCGAGGAGGCCAAGACTAGAAGCGGGAAAGGATGAAAATAATGGGGGGAAATTAAAAGACGAATTTTACAGATGACACACAATTAAAAGTGTACTCCATGTTTTTGCAAATTTTTTGGATTATGACTATTAAATATGTCACACATTATTGCAAGTCATAAATCGTTCAGATTTTAAAAAACATGACATTTTTTTATGACACATTTTTCGCAAGTCATAAATTAGCGTGTGTCATCGTTCGTGTGTCATTAAAGGTATATTTTCTTATAGTGATGATCTCTAATGAAATGATGTCTAATTTCAATGTGCTTAGTTCTAGAGTGTTAGATGGGATTTTTAGTGAGACAAATAGCACTAGTATTGTCACACTTGATAGGTATGATACTAACTTCAATTCCATAATCTAAAAGTTTTTGTTTCATCCATAAAACTTGTGCACAACAACTACCGGCAGAAATGTATTCCGCTTTAGTGGTAGATAATGCAACACAATTTTGTTTCTTTGAAAACCATGAAATCAACATATTTCCTAGGAATCAACAAGTACCGGAGGTGCTTTTCCTGTCTATTTTGCATCCTCCATAATCCGCATCAGAGAAGATATGCAAGCTAAAACTAGAGTCTCTAGGATACCAAAGTCCTAAACTATGAGTGTCCTTAAGGTATCTAAAGATTCTCTTAACAGCTAGTAAATGTGATTCCTTAGGGCATGATTGAAATATAGCACATAAGCAAACACTAAACATAATGTACGGTCTACTTATGGTTAGATAAAGCAAAACGCCAATAATTGACCTATATAGTTTAATATCCACACATTTACCTCCTTCATCTTTGTCAAGCTTTGTAGAAGAGCTCATTGGAGTGGTATGAGGTTTCCTATTTTCCAATCCAAACTTCTTGAGCATATCTTTGACGTACTTATCTTGATTGATGAAGATGCCATCTTTTCTTTGCTTGATTTGGAGTCCCAAGAAATATGAGAGCTCCCCCATCATGCTCATCTCAAATTCACTCTGCATTAGCTTAGAAAATTCTTGGCAAAGAACATCATTAGTAGAACCAAATATTATATCATCAATATAAATTTGTACTGCTAATAAATCTTTACCTTTATGCTTTAAAAACAATTTAGTGTCAACCTTCCCTTTTGAAAAACCTTTTTCGATTAAAAAATTAACAATCTTTCATACTAATCTCTAGGAGCTTGTTTTAAACCATAAAGTGTTTTTGTCAATTTGAAAACATGATCTGGAAATTTTGAATCTTCAAAACCTGGAGGTTGTTTCACGTACACTTCTTCTTTTATAAAATCATTTAAAAATGTACTTTTAACATCCATTTGATATAATTTAAATTCATTGAAACATGCAAATGCTAATAACATTCTAATTGCTTCCATCCTAGCTATGGGAGCGTATGTTTCATCATAGTCTATGCCCTTTTCTAGAGTATAGCCTTGAGCAACAACTCTAGCCTTATTTCTCACTATATTACCACTTTCATCAAGCTTATTCCTAAATACCCATCTAGTACCTACAGTAGATTTATTACTAGGCATTTCAACTAATGTCCATACTTTACTTCTCTCAAATAGATTTAACTCTTCTTGCATAGCCATAATCCAATGTTCATCATTTAATGCTTCTTTAATATTATTAGGCTCTATGCATAAGATAAATGCAATATAATTACATATATTTCTAAGAGAAGATCGAGTTGTTACCCATTTGGATGGATCACCTATTATCTCTCAATCCTTGACATAGTTGTATTTCTCTTGGGTAAGAGACTTCCTTTTCTTCAATGGTTGGATTATCAAGAACATCATGAGTTTCCTCATCTTTCGTTTCTTCCTTTGATGATGGTTCTTCAACGTAATATCTAACGTCATTTGTGTTTACAATACCTACATCATCATTCACACAAGAATCCTTCCTTGGAAGGGAATTATCATCGAAGACAACATGTATAGACTCTTCTACCACTAAAGTTCTTTTATTAAATACTCGATAAGCTTTAGAATTTAAGGAATAATCCAGAAAAATTCCTTCATCACTTTTAACATCAAATTTGCTAAGATTTTCTTTACCGTTGTTTAAAACAAAATATTTACATCCAAAAGGATGAAAATAACTAATGTTAGGCTTTTTATTTTTGAAAAGTTCATATGGAGTTTTCTTTAAAATATGCCTCATCATTACTCGATTAATAACATAACAAGTCGTATTTGTGGCTTTCGCCCAAAAATATTTTAGCAAATTATTTTCACAAAGCATGGTTCTAGCCATTTCTTCTAAAGTTCGATTTTTCCTCTCAATAATTACATTTTGTTGAGGGGTTCTAGGTGCTGAAAAATTATGGCTAATACCATTAGAATTACAAAACTCAATAAATCCAAGATTTTCAAATTCAGTTCCATGATCACTCCTAACACTAGTTATGGAGTAACCTTTTTCGTTTTGGATTATTTTTGAGAACGTGATGAATTTTTCTAATGCTTCATCTTTAGTACTTAAGAATAGAACCGAAGTATATCTAGAATAGTCATCTACCAAGATAAAAGCATATTGTTTTCCACCGAAGCTAGTAGTCCTAGTTGGCCCAAAAAGATCTATATGGATCAATTGTAATACTCTACTAGTTGATACATCATTGATAGACTTATATGAATCTCTTTGATGCTTTCCTTTAGCACATGCATCACATATTTTATCTTTATCAAATTTTAGCTTTGGCAACCCTCTTATTAAATCTCCTTAAATTAATCATTGTAGAACACTCATGCTAGTATGTCATAGTCTCCTATGCCATAACCAACTATCATGCTCATCCTTAGAAACCAGGCATAAATTAGTCATTTCTATAGAATCTAAATGCACCGTGTATATGTTTCCTATTCTATGACCAACAAGCATA